ATGATGCTGATGCTGATGATGCTACTGATGCTGCTGATGATGCTGATGATGCTGCTGATGATAATGATGATGCTGATGATGATGTTACTGATAATGATGATGCTGATGATGCTCATGCTCATGAGGCTGATGCTGCTGATGATGCTGGTGATACTGATGATGATGCTACTGATGATGCTGCTGATGATGCTGCTGATGATAATGATGATGCTGCTGATGATGCTGCTGATGATGATGCTGATGATGATGCTGATGATGATGCTGATGATGATGCTGCTGATGATGCTGCTGACTCTCACCAGCGCTGTCTTGAGGCTCTTGACCTGCTCCTCCTGCAAGCGATATTCCTCCAGCTCGCTCTGAACACTCACAGCCACCTCGGGGAAAGGGCTGGAGAGAGACACGGGGAGAGAGAGACACGGGGAGAGAGACACGGGGAGAGAGACACGGGGAGAGAGACACGGGGAGAGAGACACGGGGAGAGAGACACGGGGAGAGAGAGAGACACGGGGAGAGAGAGAGACACGGGGAGAGAGAAACGGGGAGAGAGAGACACGGGGAGAGAGACACGGGGAGAGAGAGACACGGGGAGAGAGAGAGACACGGGGAGACACGGGGAGAGAGAGACGGGGAGAGAGCCACGGGGAGAGAGACACGGGGGGAGAGAGACACGGGGAGAGAGACACGGGGAGAGAGACACGGGGAGAGAGACACGGGGAGACACAGACACAAGGAGAGAGACACGGGGGGAGAGAGACACGGGGAGAGAGACACGGGGAGAGAGAGACACGGGGAGAGAGACACGGGGAGAGAGACACGGGGAGACACGGGGGGAGACACGGGGAGAGAGACACGGGGGGAGAGAAACACGGGGAGAGAGACACGGGGAGACACGGGGGGAGACACGGGGAGAGAGACACGGGGAGAGAGACACGGGGGGGAGACACAGGGAGAGAGACACGGGGAGACACGGGAAAAGAGAGACGGGGAGAGAGGTACCAGGCGAGGTGGTCAACATCTACCACGACCTCCTGTAGACCAGGCGAGGTGGTCAACGTCTACCACGACCTCCTGTAGACCAGGCGAGGTGGTCAACATCTACCACGACCTCCTGTAGACCAGGCGAGGTGTTCAACATCTACCACGACCTCCTGTAGACCAGGCGAGGTGGTCAACATCTACCACGACCTCCTGTAGACCAGGCGAGGTGGTCAACATCTACCACGACCTCCTGTAGACCAGGCGAGTTGGTCAACATCTACCACGACCTCCTGTAGACCAGGCGAGGTGGTCAACATCTACCACGACCTCCTGTAGACCAGGAGAGGTTGTCAACATCCACCACGAACCTCCTGTAGACCAGGCGAGGTGGTCAACATCTACCACGACCTCCTGTAGACCAGGCGAGGTGATCAACATCTACCACGACCTCCTGCAGACCTGGCGAGGTGGTCAACATCTACCACGACCTCCTGTAGACCAGGCGAGGTGGTCAACATCTACCACGACCTCCTGTAGACCAGGAGAGGTGATCAACATCTACCACGACCTCCTGTGTACCAGGAGAGGTGGTCAACATCCACCACGAACCTCCTGTAGACCAGGAGAGGTGGTCAACATCTACCACGACCTCCTGTAGACCAGGCGAGGTGGTCAACATCTACCACGAACCTCCCCTTGTGCTGTTGCCAGAAGGCGTCGTGAGCGTCGAGGTCGTAAGTCTTCACTGTCCGACGTTTCGGGCGGGCGCCTCCGTGAGGCTCGTCGCCCGGAGGAGCGTCGCTGAGAGAGACGCGGTTGAGTCGGAGGTCCTTGGGCGAGAGAGAGACACGGAGAGAGAGACACGGGGAGAGAGAGAGACACGGGGAGAGAGACACGGGGAGAGAGAGACACGGGGAGAGAGACACGGGGAGAGAGACACGGGGAGAGAGACACGGGGAGAGAGAAACGGGGGGAGAGACACGGGGAGAGAGAGAGACACGGGGAGAGAGAGAGACACGGGGAGAGAGAGACACGGGGAGAGAGACACGGGGAGAGAGAGACACGGGGAGAGAGACGGGGAGAGAGACACGGGGAGAGAGACACGGGGAGAGAGACACGGGGAGAGAGACACGGGTGAGTGGGTGAGTGAGTGGGTGGGTGGGTGAGTGAGTGAGTGGGTGAGTGAGTGAGTGGGTGAGTGAGTGAGTGAGTGGGTGAGTGAGTGAGTGAGTGGGTGGGTGGGTGAGTGAGTGGCTGGGTGGGTGAGTGGGTGAGTGAGTGGGTGAGTGAGTGAGTGAGTGGGTGGGTGGGTGAGTGAGTGGGTGAGTGAGTGAGTGGGTGAGTGAGTGGCTGGGTGGGTGAGTGGGTGAGTGAGTGAGTGGGTGAGCGTATGGCTGAGTGGGTGAGTGAGTGAGTGGGTGAGTGAGTGAGTGGGTGAGTGAGTGGGTGAGTGAGTGAGTGGGTGAGTGAGTGAGTGGGTGGGTGAGCGAGTGGCTGAGTGGGTGGGTGAGCGAGGGGCTGAGTGGGTGAGCAAGTGGGTGAGTGAGTGGCTGAGTGAGTGAGCGAGTGGCTGAGTGAGTGGCTGAGTGAGTGAGCGAGTGGCTGAGTGGGTGAGCGAGTGGCTGAGTGGGTGAGCGAGTGGCTGAGTGGGTGAGCGAGTGGCTGAGTGAGTGGCTGAGTGAGTGAGCGAGTGGCTGAGTGGGTGAGCGAGTGGGTGAGCGAGTGGCTGAGTGGGTGAGCGAGTGGGTGAGTGAGTGGGTGAGCGAGTGGTGAGCATCACCATGACATCGTGGACCAGGGCTTGGTAAGTCCACGTGTGATGCAGGGGCGTGGCCAGATCCACACCTCGGTCAAGCAGCAGCAACAGCGGGCGCTGGAAACTGAGAGAGAGACATGGAGGGGTGAGTGAGTGGGTGGGTGAGTGGGTGGGTGAGTGTGTGGGTGGGTGGGTGAGTGGGTGGGTGAGTGGGTGGGTGAGTGGGTGTGTGAGTGAGTGAGTGAGTGGGTGAGTGAGTGAGTGGGTGAGTGGGTGGGTGAGTGAGTGAGTGAGTGGGTGGGTGAGTGGGTGGGTGAGTGGGTGAGTGAGTGAGTGAGTGGGTGGGTGAGTGGGTGGGTGGCTGGGTGAGTGGGTGGGTGGGTGAGTGAGTGGGTGGGTGAGTGGGTGGGTGGGTGAGTGGGTGGGTGGGTGAGTGAGTGGGTGGGTGGGTGGGTGGGTGAGTGGGTGGGTGGGTGAGTGGGTGGGTGGGTGGGTGAGTGAGTGGGTGGGTGAGTGGGTGAGTGGGTGGGTGGGTGAGTGAGTGGGTGGGTGGATGGGTGGGTGGGTGAGTGGGTGGGTGGGTGAGTGGGTGGGTGGGTGAGTGGGTGGGTGGGTGAGTGAGTGGGTGGGTGAGTGGGTGAGTGAGTGAGTGGGTGAGTGAGTGAGTGAGCGAGTGAGTGAGTGTGTGGTTGCTGAGTGAGTGGGTGGGTGAGTGAGTGGGTGAGTGAGTGAGTGAGTGGGTGAGTGAGTGGGTGGCTGAGTGAGTGAGTGGGTGAGTGAGTGAGTGGGTGAGTGGGTGGGTGAGTGAGTGAGTGGGTGAGTGAGTGGGTGAGTGGGTGAGTGGGTGAGTGAGTGAGTGAGTGGGTGGGTGAGTGAGTGAGTGGGTGAGTGAGTGGGTGGGTGAGTGGGTGAGTGAGTGGGTGAGTGGGTGGGTGAGTGGGTGAGTGGGTGAGTGAGTGAGTGGGTGAGTGAGTGAGTGGGTGAGTGAGTGGGTGAGTGAGTGGGTGAGTGGGTGGGTGAGTGAGTGGGTGAGTGGGTGAGTGGGTGAGTGAGTGGGTGGGTGAGTGGGTGGGTGAGTGAGTGGGTGAGTGGGTGGGTGAGTGGGTGGGTGGGTGGGTGAGTGAGTGAGTGGGTGAGTGGGTGGGTGGGTGAGTGAGTGGGTGAGTGGGTGAGTGAGTGGGTGGGTGAATGGGTGAGTGAGTGGGTGGGTGAGTGAGTGAGTGAGTGGGTGAGTGAGTGAGTGGGTGAGTGAGTGGGTGGGTGAGTGAGTGGGTGGGTGAGTGAGTGGGTGAGTGAGTGAGTGGGTGGGTGAGTGGGTGGGTGAGTGGGTGAGTGAGTGAGTGGGTGAGTGAGTGAGTGAGTGGGTCGGTGGGTGGGTGGGTGGGTGAGTGGGTGGGTGGGTGAGTAAGTGGGTGGGTGAGTGAGTGGATGAGTGAGTGAGTGGTTGGTGAGTGAGTGGGTGGGTGGGTGAGTGGGTGAGTGAGTGGGTGGGTGGGTGGGTGAGAGAGTGGGTGAGTGGGTGAGTGAGTGAGTGAGTGGGTGAGTGGGTGGGTGAGTGAGTGAGTGGGTGAGTGAGTGGGTGAGTGAGTGAGTGGGTGAGTGGGTGGGTGAGTGAGTGGGTGGGTGGGTGGGTGAGTGAGTGAGTGGGTGAGTGAGTGAGTGGGTGGGTGAGTGGGTTGGTGAGTGAGTGGGTGGGTGAGTGAGTGGGTGAATGAGTGAGTGGGTGGGTGAGTGAGTGGGTGAGTGAGTGGGTGGGTGAGTGAGTGAGTGGGTGGGTTGGTGAGTGAGTGGGTGAGTGGGTGAGTGGGTGGGTGAGTGGGTGAGTGAGTGAGTGGGTGGGTGAGTGGGTGAGTGAGTGAGTGAGTGGGTGGGTGAGTGAGTGGGTGGGTGGGTGGGTGAGTGGGTGGGTGAGTGAGTGAGTGGGTGAGTGAGTGAGTGGGTGAGTGGGTGAGTGAGTGAGTGGGTGGGTGGGTGGGTGAGTGAGTGGGTGGGTTGGTGAGTGGGTGGGTGAGTGAGTGAGTGAGTGGGTGGGTGGGTGAGTGAGTGGGTGAGTGGGTGGATGAGTGATGGACTGAGTAAGTGAGTGAGTGAGTGGTTGGTGAGTGAGTGGGTGGGTGAGTGAGTGGGTGAGTGAGTGAGTGAGTGGGTGAGTGAGGGGTGGGTGAGTGGGTTGGTGGGTGAGTGGGTGAGTGAGTGGGTGAGTGAGTGGGTGAGTGAGTGAGTGGGTGAGTGAGTGGGTGGGTGAGTGAGTGGGTGAGTGAGTGGGTGGGTGAGTGGGTTGGTGGGTGAGTGGGTGAGTGAGTGGGTGAGTGGGTGGGTGGGTAGGTGAGTGGGTGGGTGAGTGGGTGGGTGGGTGGGTGAGTGAGTGGGTGAGTGGGTGGGTGAGTGGGTGGGTGAGTGGGTGAGTGAGTGGGTGAGTGAGTGAGTGGGTGGGTGAGTGGGTGGGTGAGTGAGTGAGTGAGTGGGTGAGTGAGTGGGTGGGTGGGTGAGTGGGTGGGTGAGTGAGTGAGTGGGTGGGTGAGTGGGTGAGTGAGTGGGTGGGTGGGTGAGTGAGTGAGTGGGTGAGTGGGTGGGTGGGTGAGTAAGTGAGTGAGTGAGTGGTTGGTGAGTGAGTGGGTGGGTGAGTGAGTGGGTGAGTGAGTGGGTGGGTGAGTGGGTGAGTGGGTGAGTGAGTGAGTGAGTGGGTGAGTGAGTGGGTGGGTGAGTGGGTGAGTGAGTGGAGGGGTGAGTGGGTGGGTGAGTGAGTGGGTGAGTGAGTGAGTGAGTGGGTGAGTGAGTGGGTGGGTGAGTGGGTGAGTGAGTGGGTGAGTGGGTGAGTGAGTGGGTGAGTGGGTGGGTGGGTGGGTGAGTGAGTGGGTGAGTGAGTGAGTGAGTGGGTGAGTGAGTGGGTGGGTGAGTGGGTGAGTGGGTGAGTGAGTGGGTGGGTGGGTGAGTGAGTGGGTGAGTGAGTGAGTGGGTGGGTGAGTGGGTGAGTGAGTGGGTGGGTGAGTGGGTGAGTGAGTGGGTGGGTGGGTGGGTGAGTGGGTGGGTGAGTGAGTGAGTGGGTGGGTGGGTGAGTGGGTGGGTGAGTGGGTGGGTGGGTGAGTGAGTGGGTGGGTGAGTGGGTGGGTGAGTGGGTGGGTGAGTGAGGGAATGGGTGGGTGAGTGGGTGAGTGGGTGGGTGAGTGAGTGGGTGGGTGAGTGGGTGGGTGAGTGGGTGAGTGAGTGAGTCGGTGAGTGGGTGGGTGGGTGGGTGAGTGAGTGGGTGAGTGGGTGGGTGAGTGGGTGGGTGAGTGGGTGAGTGGGTGAGTGGGTGAGTGAGTGAGTGAGTGGGTGGGTGAGTGGGTGAGTGAGTGAGTGGGTGAGTGGGTGGGTGGGTGGGTGAGTGAGTGGGTGAGTGGGTGGGTGAGTGGGTGGGTGAGTGGGTGAGTGGGTGAGTGGGTGAGTGAGTGAGTGAGTGGGTGGGTGAGTGGGTGAGTGAGTGAGTGGGTGAGTGAATGGGTGGGTGAGTGGGTGGGTGAGTGGGTTGGTGGGTGAGTGGGTGGGTGAGTTGGTGAGTGAGTGAGTGGGTGAGTGAGTGAGTGAGTGGGTGAGTGAGTGGGTGAGTGGGTGGGTGAGTGGGTGAGTGGGTGAGTGAGTGAGTGGGTGAGTGAGTGGGTGGGTGAGTGGGTGAGTGAGTGGGTGGGTGAGTGAGTGGGTGAGTGAGTGGGTGGGTGAGTGGGTGAGTGGGTGAGTGAGTGAGTGAGTGGGTGAGTGAGTGGGTGGGTGAGTGGGTGGGTGAGTGGGTGAGTTAGTGGGTGAGTGAGTGAGTGAGTGGGTGAGTGAGTGATGGACTGAGTAAGTGAGTGAGTGAGTGAGTGGTTGGTGAGTGAGTGGGTGAGTGAGTGAGTGGTTGGTGAGTGAGTGGGTGGGTGAGTGAGTGGGTGAGTGAGTGAGTGGGTGAGTGAGTGGGTGGGTGAGTGAGTGAGTGGGTGAGTGAGTGGGTGGGTGAGTGGGTTGGTGGGTGAGTGGGTGAGTGAGTGGGTGAGTGAGTGGGTGGGTGGGTGGGTGAGTGAGTGGGTAGGTGAGTGAGTGAGTGAGTGGGTGGGTGAGTGAGTGAGTGGGTGGGTGAGTGGGTGAGTGGGTGAGTGGGTGAGTGAGTGAGTGAGTGGGTGGGTGAGTGGGTGAGTGAGTGAGTGGGTGAGTGAATGGGTGGGTGAGTGGGTGGGTGAGTGGGTTGGTGGGTGAGTGGGTGGGTGAGTTGGTGAGTGAGTGAGTGGGTGAGTGAGTGAGTGAGTGGGTGAGTGAGTGGGTGAGTGGGTGGGTGAGTGGGTGAGTGGGTGAGTGAGTGAGTGAGTGGGTGAGTGAGTGGGTGGGTGAGTGGGTGAGTGAGTGGGTGGGTGAGTGAGTGGGTGAGTGAGTGGGTGGGTGAGTGGGTGAGTGGGTGAGTGAGTGAGTGAGTGGGTGAGTGAGTGGGTGGGTGAGTGGGTGGGTGAGTGGGTGAGTTAGTGGGTGAGTGAGTGAGTGAGTGGGTGAGTGAGTGATGGACTGAGTAAGTGAGTGAGTGAGTGGTTGGTGAGTGAGTGGGTGAGTGGGTGAGTGAGTGAGTGGTTGGTGAGTGAGTGGGTGGGTGAGTGAGTGGGTGAGTGAGTGAGTGGGTGAGTGAGTGGGTGGGTGAGTGAGTGAGTGGGTGAGTGGGTGGGTGAGTGGGTTGGTGGGTGAGTGGGTGAGTGAGTGGGTGAGTGAGTGAGTGGGTGGGTGGGTGGGTGAGTGAGTGGGTAGGTGAGTGAGTGAGTGAGTGGGTGGGTGAGTGAGTGGGTGGGTGGGTGAGTGGGTGAGTGAGTGAGTGAGTGGGTGAGTGGGTGAGTGAGTGAGTGGGTGGGTAGGTGAGTGACTGAGTGGTTGGTGAGTGAGTGGGTGACTGAGTGAGTGGGTGGGTGGGTAGGTGAGTGACTGAGTGGTTGGTGAGTGAGTGGGTGAGTGAGTGGGTGACTGAGTGAGTGAGTGGGTGGGTGAGTGGGTGAGTGGGTGAGTGAGTGAGTGGGTGAGTGAGTGGTTGGTGAGTGGGTGAGTGAGTGGGTGGGTGTGTGGTGGGTGAGTGAGTGGGTGGGTGTGTGGGTGAGTGAGTGTGTGGGTGAGTGAGTGAGTGGTTGGTGGGTGAGTGGGTGGGTGAGTGAGTGGGTGACTGAGTGAGTGAGTGGGTGGGTGAGTGGGTGAGTGAGTGAGTGGGTGAGTGAGTGGTTGGTGAGTGGGTGAGTGAGTGGGTGGGTGAGTGGGTGAGTGAGTGGGTGGGTGAGTGGGTGAGTGAGTGGTTGGTGAGTGGGTGAGTGAGTGGGTGGGTGAGTGGGTGAGTGAGTGGGTGGGTGAGTGGGTGAGTTAGTCACCTGATGTGCCCAGAGTTGACACCATCTCCAGTGAAGAGACTGTTACGAGCATCCCTTAGATTATCTCGAATCTTTTTATCCAGTTTCTAAAATCAAAGTAACACAATAACACAGTTACGTGTGTGTCTATGTGTGTGTGTGTCTATGTGTGTCTATGTGTGTGTGTCTATGTGTGTGTCTATGTGTGTGTGTCTATGTGTGTGTGTGTCTATGTGTGTGTGTCTATGTGTGTGTCTATGTGTGTGTGTCTATGTGTGTGTGTCTATGTGTGTGTCTATGTGTGTGTGTGTGTCTATGTGTGTGTGTCTGTGTCTATGTGTGTGTGTCTATGTGTGTGTGTCTGTGTGTGTGTCTATGTGTGTGTGTCTATGTGTGTGTGTCTATGTGTGTGTGTCTATGTGTGTGTGTCTATGTGTGTGTGTCTATGTGTGTGTGTCTATGTGTGGGTGTCTATGTGTGGGTGTCTCACCTCTGCTACCATCTCTGCTGCGTTTCCCTTTGGGCTTCTGATAATTGGAACAGCCCCTAGCAGATTCACACAAAGACATCACCAACATCACTACCATCATCACAATCATCATCATCACCACCACCATCACCACAATCACTACCATCATCATCACTAGCATCACCACCATCACCATCACTACCATCATCATCATCACCATCACCATCATCACCACCACCACCATCATCACCATCATCGCCATCACTACCATCACCATCACCACCATCACCACCACCACCACCATCACCACCATCACCACCACCACCACCATCACCACCATCATCACCACCACCACCACCATCATCACCACCATCACTACACCATCACCACCACCACCACCATCATCACCATCACCACCACCATCACCACCACCATCACCACCACCATCACCACCACCACCATCACCACCATCACCACCATCACCATCACCACCATCACCACCACCACCATCACCACCATCACCACCACCACCATCACCACCATCACCACCACCACCATCACCATCATCACCACCACCACCATCATCACCATCATCGCCATCACTACAATCACCATCACCATCATAACCACCATCACCATCACCACCATCACCATCACCACCATCACCACCATCACCACCACCACCACCATCACCACCATCACCACCATCACCACCACCATCACCACCACCACCACCATCATCACCACCATCACTACACCATCACCACCATCACCACCATCATCACCATCACCACCACCATCACCACCACCATCACCACCACCATCACCACCATCATCACCATCACCACCATCACCATCACTACACCACCATCACCACCATCACCACCACCATCACTCACCCACTCACCCACCCACTCACCCGCCCACTCACTCACTCACCCACTCAATCAGTCACTCACCACTCACTCAGTCACTCACTCAGTCACTCACTCACCACTCAGTCACTCACCCACTCACTCTCTCAGTCACTCACTCACCACTCACTCACCCACTCACCACTCACTCACCACCCACTCAGTCACTCTCTCAGTCACTCACTCAGTCACTCACTCACCACTCACTCACCCACTCACTCACCCACTCAGTCACTCTCTCACCCACTCACCACTCACTACCCACTCAGTCACTAACTCAGTCACTCACTCACCACTCACTCACCACTCACTCACTCACCACTCACTCACTCACTCACCCATTCACTCATCACCA